GAAGTGGTTTTCTGAGGCTAATCGCAGAACGTAACTTATTAAAACAGACAAATTCAGAAATATAAAAATTTCCCCAAGATTGTAATTTTTCCAAAGATAGCTACCTGACGACACGATTGAATCTGAGGCATAACGCATTGATGCCCTAGACTTCCAGTTGGTAAACAAGAGAATATTAAAGGAGGCGCGATTTTAACGCGTGAAAGACGCGTTCTTGCCGCGACACGACCCGAACCTCTTCCGTTTTACGATCTGCACTTTAATCGGGCCCATTTGCTTATTGAACGCTTGGAAAAGTAACTTTCATTGACGAATGATGATGAAATTCTTGTTATGGTTTATTTTTAATTTTTTTTTCTTTTCAGCTCAACCAATTAACCTTTGTCCTGTTGATCTCCACAAACTACAACAACTGTGTGGTTTCGACATTGTTGATAGGTATCAAAAGGTATTGAGTTTTTCTTTTTCTTTTTTATACTTGTGGGAAGATACGACCAGGGGAACTACATGTAGAGTTGGCCACCTTAAAGAGTTGAAAAGCTGACGTTTCGAGCGTTAGCCCTTCGACAATCGCTCTAACGAAAGGCTAACGCTCGAAACGTCAGCTTTTAAACTCTTGACGGTGGCCAATTTACATTGTTAACTCAGTTAATAATACTAAATTACCCTGTTATACTCTACCACCGACGCAGCACCACAGTGTCTTTAGAAACTTACCTCCTTTATACAAATAGAGTTGGTTGTACATGTTTTGTGGTCACAACTTGACCGCGATTTTTTAACCATGACATGTTCCGCTCACGTGACGAGCTTTCGGCAATCGTACTGTGTCCGTCTTGTTTTCTAAATGGCCTTTAAGAGTTAAAAAATCGTTCGGCTGCTTCAACGACAATTTACCGAAAACCAAGCGACGCTTTCCGACAAAATTCTACATGGAACCCTTTGTTACGATACTTTTACGGCTTGCAAAAGTATCTTAAGGTTATCGAACACTACAAAATATTAGTTTGGTAAGATTTGAATGTAAAACAAATAAATAAATGAATAAATAAACCACGAGCGAAGAAGTATGGCTCGAGATGGAGGAATTCAAACAGATAATCCATGGTGAACCTGGTCAAGGAAGAATCTTTCAAAATACGCCAATTTTGATGTGGTTCATTTATGTTATTTAATTAATTTAAGTCAGCGTAAGAAAGCGCAATATTAGTTGCTGCGGGATTACGCAAGTAAATTAATCAGTTGAAATTAAAATCTTGTTTCTTAGGGCGACAATTTTTTTATTGAATGTTTAAGAAGGCTGCCTTTTCTTGTCAAGACTTATGGTCTTAATGTATTTTCTTTTACAGCTACTTGAGTTCTTCAAGAAGCATAAAATGTTAGAAGAAACGCGATGGTTTGAGTCAAGACTGGCCTTTATAAATGAATCTGAAGGTAGATAAACAAGAGGGAAAACCAGCCTGACTTCGCAACTGAAGACAAAACATGCCACGAAGAAAGAAGACACACTGATATTAACAATGATATTGTTTGCGTCATTTGAAATAAAAGTTGCTGTTATTTATTTCAATGTCAAATCGTTAAGCTCAGTCTTTTCCCCACACTTTGACACCTAGACGTCATGTCAGGGTTTTGACGCTCGTTTAAAATTATCATCAAATATCAATTCCTGTTTCAAATCTTTCTTTAACAATTTCGAACAAAGCATACATTCGTATTATTTAACAATTCTTTCAAACTTCTGTCAAAAGCCAGAAAGGAGTTTAATATTTACTTTTTAAAAGGAAGCCGAGGATGGCACCGAAACACCGACGAAATAAAAATCCGTTACGGCTGGAAAAGCAAAC